GTGCTGTAACTGCTCACATAGATTGTTCTTTTCTAAAGGGCTAGCTTCCAGGTTGCTCAGCATTCATGCAATGCACCCTCCTGCTAGCAGCTAGAAACCCTTTGTTCTTTGGTGACTTTTCCAGTGATCCCCAGTGCCTCTTAGTATTGCCTCAGTGTTACCAGCATTCCTCCTTATGTCATCTGTACTTCCAGTAGCCCTTGTGTATTCCAGCCTGTAACCTGCTCCTCTGTGTTCCAGCAAGTGCACTCCAACCAGTACCCTGTGTTCTGTTCCGATGCCCTTGTGCACTTCAGCCTTCACTTTGCTTCAGTCTTTTGCTGCCAGAATCCTTGTTCTACATGAAACTCTTCCCTGCCTTTTTTGCTCAGTCACCAATCTCTGACAACCTGGAAGATGTCAGAAGCCAAACCCATCTCCACTGTCAGGAGTTTTGGTGAAGACCAGGTGACTCCTGCATCTCTCAGACCTTCTAAAGGCTCTCACCTTCACTAATCAATTGGGCAAGCTGAGCTCTGTGTCCGCCTTGGCTCCTACAACCAAATCCTGCTCCCAGAGGGAAAACAGACACTTAAAGGATCCAGAAAAGGTAGTAACTATCACTAACTAGGCTTTGTTCAGCAGGTTCAAGGGTATTCAGCACTTCCTGGGCTTCATCAACTATTACCAACAATTCATTAAAAATTACTTTGTGATGGCAGCTCTAATTACAGCTCTCACTTGAAAGAATACCAACCTCCAGAATTGGAGGTTTCAAAACATGTCATGCCCTAAGCAAGCTACAATGTCCTTCCCCTTTCAGACACTGTCCTCCTTTCCTTAAACTGCCTATAGATGAGTATTTTTTCTTTGATCAGCCAGGGGGTTCAGTGAAAAAAATGTATCAGGTTCCTCCATCCACAGAAACGAGAATCTTCTCCACTAAGACATTTCATTCTGACAGCACACACAGAATACACTTCTCTATTGGCTGCAGTCGCTGATCGACAAAGGTATCCCAACTTGACAGAAGTCAATCAAACGGTCAACTTCTGGTGAGTGGGGATGGACACATTTGGCTAGTCCCTGAATTTTGATTGGTCCATACCCTGCTTTAAGTTGGCCATACATGGCTCAGTTTTGGCTCTGCTGCTGGCTAAGAAAAAAAATAAAACGGAACCGATTCCCCCATTCATACAAACAAGGTAGAGGGGGGAATCCTCACTCCTGTGTCATTGTATTCTGACAGCAGAGGACTGTTCCACAGTCAAAATACACTGATCTGTGTTGCAGTGCTGACCGAACTAAAGTTTTCCATCAAGATCATTCGTAAGAAGTCAATCTAAAGACCAGCTGCTCTTAAACAGAACCAGCCATAGAAGGATAAAAATTCAGCCAGGTGGCGTGGCTTAAGCTGGCCACTTAGACCAGGAGCCTCTGATTCACAAGGCCATTTCTTCAGCTTTTTCTGGGATCTCAGCACACCCTTCGGCATGGTGAAGGAGTGGCTCTGTGACTCGGGCACCAAAGGAGGTCGGTACCCCAGCCGAGCAGCAATTTGCTGGCTCTGTTCTGGACCCAGGATGCAGTTTGCCATGCAGCCTCCATCTCTTCCGCATCACGCTCCCCGAGCAGCGAACCGGAGTCGGTGGGATGGGAAAGTGAGAGAGCGGGAGATTCCTCCTCCCTCCCGCCAAGCCTATCCGACCTACAAATGATGGCAGCGGACATAAAGTCCACTCTGCCTGCAACTATTTCTGAGCTCCGCACCAATATGTCCCAGAGGGCTGCGGAAGGAAAGGACCAGGGGCAAACTGACAACTCATGGGGCCCCCGGGCAATAGGGGATCACTGGGCCCGTGTCCTTGCCCAAACTCAAAAAAGCCTATGAAAAAGGTACCAGGGGCATCTCATGGGGCCCCCTACTGACCCCGGGCCCTCGGGCAGTGCCCGAGTTTCCCAATGGTCAGTCCGCCCCTGGGAAGGAGGTAGGGTTGCCACCTCATCCCTTTAAACCTGAACAGATATTAATTACACAGGTTCTGAGACTAATTTAATTCAGATAAGGCACTAAGTGAGTTTAATTACCACCTTAAACAGCCACAGAACCTGGTAATAAATACGGCTTCATGTACACGAGCCTACCCTGACCACCGGCCATGGGAAAATGCAAAACATGGCCAAACGCGGCAACTGGCGGTCAAAATGTTCCTATCCTGAACGTGATTCTTCTGCATTCAGGAGAGGGAGGTTTAACGTCACCTAAACGCGGCAGTTCATAGACTCTGTTGAAAGCCTATGTGTACATAGACACATAGGCTGTTATAGAGTTGAGATTAGGAGCTTTGGAAAAAAAAAAAGCTGCTCGTGTACATGAAGTCTTAGGCCCCTTTCACACAGGCGGTTAGATTTTAGCTTTTAGCTGCGTTTAGAGGAACTTACCGCAGCTAAATGCATCCCTATGGCTCCATTCACACACTGCGTTTTGCAACGTTTTCATGACATACGGTTTTATGCGTTTAGGAAAAATAAAGCTGCGTCCAGGAGCGATGTACCGCAGATATCTGTACATAAACGCAGTTAATCGCAGAACAAAGGAAAAATAAGCAAACAGTTGCATTAGAAGAGGCAAGAATTTACTACCACAGCTAAACGCGCAGCCACATTTAAACACAGAAAAACGCAATGTAGAAACGCAAGTGATCTCTGTGCCAGGAGTGTTGGAAATTCAAAATAAAAAAACCTGCATTTACAAGCAGCAGAACAACCACCCGTGTGAAAGAGGCCTTAGGGATCATGTACACTGCAGCTGCTAAATTGAACTTTAGGAGCAGTTGTGGAGTTTTTCAGCAGCCCCTGAACTCTCCTTTATGTTTTCCTACGTGCCCACGTACACATAGTCGTTTACAGGCAGTTGAGGTTACAGTCATTTTTTTTTTGAAAGCACAAAAATTGCGTTCAAGAGTAGAGTTTATCGGCGTTTCAAACGCCAAACGCTTGTAAACGCGTTTATGCGCGTTTGCGTTTAGACGTGTTTTGGGGCTGGTCCATATCCTGTCCAGTGCCTTTTTTCTTCATCAAAAATGCATGCACAGCGTTTTCCATGTATTCAAATGGACCTAGTACACCAGTGCAGTCAGTTCCAGGTTTCACGTGCAGGAAAAAATGGTAGAACGTGCCGCATTATTTCTGCACAGAACTGTACTGGAACACATCAAAACACAGCAAAAAAGCACAAGGAGTGTTGTGTGCACTCCAGAATGCATCGGGAGGCATTACAGCACTATGTAGCTCCTCCCACAGTGCCAAGCATGTTTCACCAGCCACTTTTGCTACAGTTGCAACACCCATCAGAAAGTAGTGCTCTGTTTCTCACAAAATGTCTGAAATAGTTCAGTTTTTACTATTTTTCAGTGCATTCTGAGCATTTGGGAGTGTCTCCTGAGGTTATCTTTGAAAAATGCTTCTAAACGCAAACTGATGTTTTTAACCTTCCATTTGTAGCAGTCAGTTTCCAGGGTTCAGAAAAGTTTTTCAAACACCCCGTGTACATGAACCCTTAGTGTTTGGGTTTAACCACTTACCTACATGGCAATTATACCCCCATCCTGCCCAGGTCAGTTTTCAGCTTTCAGTGCTGTCGCACTTTGAATGACATTTGCGCGGTCATGCAACACTGTGCCCATATGAAGTTTTTATCATTTTTTGAGACAGATAGAGTTTTCTTTTGGTGGTATTTAATCACCTCTGGGTTTTTCATTTTTTGCTAAACAAACCAAAAACAACTGAAAATTAGTTTTTGTTATAAAATTTTGTAAATAAATGATTTTTCTCCTTCACTGATGTGCGCTAATGAGTCTGCAGTGATGGGCACTGATAGGCTGCACTGATAGGTGGCACTGATGGGCATTGACAGGCATCACTGATGTGCACTGAAAGGCAGCACTCATATATGGCACTGATAGGCGGCACTGACTGACACTGTTAAGCGGCACTGATAGGTGGCACTGACTGGCATTGATATGTGGCACTGAAAGGCAGCTCAGATGGGCACTGATATGTGGCATTGATGTGCACTGGTAGGCACTGATATGTGGCACTGATGGTCACTGGCAGGTGGTATTGATGGGCACTGATAGGTGGCCCTGATGATCAATGTACATGTCCCCTCTGAGGAATGCCAACTACCGGCTCTCCTCTCCTCTCAAGCTGTCAGTGTGACAGCTCGTGGGGAGAGAAATGTCGATAACTAGCATTTCCTTATTTACATGCGATCAGCTGTGATTGGACACCGCTGATCACATGACTGAGCCGACATCTTTGGGTCTTTCCGTTGATTGGTGATCTGCTGTGTCCAAGGGACACAGTGCACCACCGATCGCCACGCTGCATGCTCCCGGGGCCGTGCACACGCGGTTAGAGTGGGAGGACGTCATATGATGTCCTCCCAGAACGAGAGAACAGCCTTGTGCCCGTCATTTCCTTATATGGCAGGTGGGAGGCAATTAAAGGGATGAGGTGGCAACCCTAGAAGGAAGGGGGGGGGGTCCAATGTCCGGCTCAGTTCGCCACTGGTCAAAACCAGCTACCCCTCCCCAAAAAGGTGCCAGATGTGGCAGCGGAGGGGAGGAGGAGGCAGAGCTTCGACTTTTGAGTGGAACTCCGCTTTAATATGTATTTGGTTTTAGAGGGAGGTGACAACCCTAGTCTCATCACACAGTGGAAGCAAAGGAATGCTACATCATTTTCACTTTCAACACGAAACATGTCATCACTCTCACACCTGCAAATCATGTTGTGTTTCCATTTTTCTGCCTAACCCCTGTACATACATAACTACTACTTCAAAGCAAACATAAAAGCACTATCAAACAGATCTTCTTCTGTACAATGGAGGAATACAGAAATTGTAACCATCTCTCAAACCTCAACCTTCCCTTCTAAACCAGCAGCACACACACACGCCTTCCTCTTCATTCTTTGGTTCCGGCCGGCACAAGTTCCCAGTCGGAAGCGTATTGGGTTGCACGCCGGTTGTCTTCCTGTACCGCAGCCTAGGGAGCCGTGTTGTGGTGCGGACCGGCGGAGAGAAGCTCGGGGTGACGTCACCAGTCCGGGGTTCCGCTCAGACGTGTTGCTGCCGGTGGAGGTTTGATGGCGGGGAATTTCTGGCAGAGCTCTCACTAGTGAGTAGTGCCTGGAGAGCCGACCGGTTGGCCGGCCTGTCTGACACCCCCCACCTAGATAGAAGAGAGCTTCTGTGTACAGCCGGCTCCCCATTCTTCCTGTCTTCAGTATGTGCCCTCACCTCTGATCGTGTGTGTGTGTGCGCGCTCAGGCCTCGCTGCACTGAATACAAACACTGCTCCAGATCATCGCTACCTGTCTGATTACAGTCCTCTGAGCTCAGGCAGCTTAGAAAGGACTTTCTTAGGCCTCTTTTACATGGTTGGCTGGGGGGGAGGTAAAAACAGGTGGTTGAGTTGTGGTTTTACCAACTGCTTGCCATACAGCCAGAGAGGGCTGATCACTTGCAGTGCCTATGATGCTTTGTGTCATGGCATACTTGATGCAAGCAGACAGGTGACACCACCTGTCAAAGTGGTCAGTTTGAAACAATGGGGCTTCAGTGCAACAATCTGCCAAGTGCTTGACTTGTGCTGACAGCATATTAGTCCCATTGAAAATTGCTATGTGGGGAGCGGGTTCAAAGAGCAAAAATAAGCCAGGGCCACCTTCTGAACTCCTGATAGCAGCTACTGAAAAACAACCTGGATCACTTTTCAGAGACTGTACAAGTGTATACCTACCCTTAAGCCTCTTTCACATGGGGCAGAATCTGCAATTACCGGGATCTGTGGACCGTTTTCCTGGGGAATCAGTTTATGCAAAGCCCGCTCTGCTGTATGGGCAACCAGGGGTAAATGGACACCATTGTTCGTTTACAAGCAGCTACCTCCAAGCCACTCTGCCTAAACGAAAGACCTATGTTTTTTAATGGACCTAATCAGAAGCAGTGTTAGGCGGGTGTAAACGGACACAAGTACGTGTAGACCTGCCTATTCATAAAGATGAATGGACCTTTCCGATCACATGCACCTGAACAACTGACAAGTGGACCTGATTGGAACGGCCTTCTGAAAGGGGTCTTGCAGTGTATTATTTCCAAAGAACAAACATATATTGCAGTCCTTATGGTGCTCAAACAGATCTTCAATAAATGATTGATTTATTTTCTGATTGCTTTCTCCCAGTAGGATTGTTCGCTCTATAGCATTGGTCTCCAAACTGCGGCCTGGGGAGCTGGATGTGGCCCTTTGCCAGGTCCTTGGATCGCCATTCCCCCTACTGACACCATCAATAAGGCACTATTCTTCCCACTGATGCCAAAAATGGGGCACTATTCCTCCCATTAAAACCAATAATGAGGCACTGATGCCAGGGAATTTTCTACTCCCACTACATTGTAACACAGCAAACTAAATGTCATAAAGTTAGGTCAGTGGTCACCAAACTGTGGACCAGCTGCTTTATCAGGCCCTTGGATTGTCATTCTCCCTACTAACCCCATCAATGGGGCACTGTTCTTTCCACTGATACCAAAAATGGGGCACTATTCCTCTCATTACAACCAATAACGAGCCACTGATGCCATGGCATATTCTACTCCTACTAGATAATAACACAGCAAGCTAAATGTCATCCAGTTAGGTCAGTGGTTACCAATATGTGGCCCTTTGTTTGCCTTTATCTGACCCTTGGGGCACCATTCCACTACTGAAACCATCAATGGAACACTATTCTTTCCTTTGATACCAACAGTGGGGCACTATTCCTTCCATTAAAACCAATGATTGGGCACTGATCCCGAGACATTTTCTACTCCCACTGGCCACAGTTCGGCCCCCCAGATCCTGAAGGACAATAAATTGGCCCTTTTGCTTAGAATGTTTGGAGACCTCTGCTCTATAGCATACAACCCTTTCATCTGATCTGCCACACGAGAATTTGCTTTAGATCAAAAGTTGAAAGATACACTATATTGCTAAAAGTATTGGGACATCCCTCCAAATCATTGGATTCAGGTGTTCTAATCCCCTCCATGGCCACAGATGTATAAAATCAAGCACCTAGGCATGCAGACTGCTTCTACAAATATATGTGAATGAATGGGTCGCTCTCAGGAGCTCAGTGAACTCAAGCGTGGTACCGTGATAGGTTACCACCTGTGCAATAATTTCATCTGTGACATTTCCTTGCTACTAAATATTCCACGGGTCAATTGTTAGTGGTATTATAACAAAATGGAAGCAACTGGGAACAACAGCAACTCATCCACAAAGTGGTAGGCCACATAAAATGACAGAGCAGGGTCAGTGCATACTGAAGCGTACAGTGTGCAGAAGTCGCCAACTGTCTGCAGAGTCTATAGCTAAAGACCTCCAAACTTCATGTGGCCTTCAGATTAGTACATCACCAAGTGCAATGCAAAGTGTCAGATGCAGTGGTGTAAAGCACGCCACCACTAGACTCTAAAGCAGTGGAGACATGTTCTCTGGTGTGACCAATCTCGCTTCTCTGGTAATCTGATGGACATGTCTGGGTTTAGTGGTTGCCAGGAGAACAGTACTTGCCTGACTGCATTGAGCCAATGTTTGGTGGAGGGTGGATTATGGTGTGGGGGTGGGCTTGGCCCCTTAGTTCCAGTGAAAGGACCTCTTAAGGTGTCAGCATACGAAGACATTTTGGACAATTTCATGTTCCCAACTTTGTGGGAACAGTTTTGGAATGGCCCCTTCCTGTTCCAACATGACTGCTCAACAGTGCACAAAGCAAGGTCCATAAAGACATGGATGAGTGAGTTTGTGGTGGAGGAACGTGACTGGCCTGCACAGAGTCCTGACCTCAACCTGATAGAACACCTTTGGGATGAATTAGAGTGGAGACTGCGAGCCAGGCCTTCTTGTCTGACATCAGTTCCTGACCTCACAAATGCACTTCTGGAGGAATGGTCAAACATTCCCATAGACACACTCCTAAACCTTGTGGACAGCCTTCCCAGAAGAGTTGAAGCTGTTATAGCTGTAAAGGGTGGGCCAACTCAATATTGAACCCTACAGACTAAGACTGGGATACCATCAAAGTTCACATGCCTGTAAAGGCAGGCGTCCCAATACTTTTAGCAATATAGTGTATGATTGCATGTCTGTTTTCACTTAACTGATTTAAATTCGATCAGATTAATGACCACAGCATTTCATTGCCGCTGATCAATGCAGAATGATTAATCATTTTCCACCGAGCAAATCAGTTTGAATACGATCTAAATCAGTCGGAGAAGGTATGCCCGTTTTAGCTGTTTCGATCAAATCACACATTGATTGGATAAAATTGAAGCATGTATGCCCACTATTTGATGTGGTGGCTCCATTGGTTTTCGTTTTCAGGCTTTCTCCTTATTTTTACCCAGTGATCCTGCAAGTTATTATACAGGCTCTGTATAGTGCCAACAGTTTGCTCAGCACCTTACAATATAACTGGAGACAATACAGTAACAATACAGTTCAATACAAGAGGGAGTTGAGGGCCCTGCTCCATGGAGCTTACAATCTAGGAGAGTAACACACTTCCCGGCAACACTCACTTATCCTCCATTCACACTAGTGTGCATGAGTATGCAGCAAAACACATGATTTTTTTTTTTTTTTTTGTACAGTGCATAAAGTTTGAAAACCACGTGTGGTGCTTGTGGTGTCATTCATTGTAATGGCACCCAAATATGCCAAGCACACGATGATGCGGAAAAGGAGCAAGGTGTAGGCTGCCATTGCTGACCTTTACATTAAAATGCTAATTTATTGGCTGTCCACAAAACTAGCATGCAGCAAGTGAAGTCAGAACTGCCTGATCTGTGTACTTATTCTGTGTCAGTGCTCACACTCTTGAAACTATTGGAGTATCATGGCAGCCAGCATTTTCAGAATAACAACCCTCCCAGACTCAGCTTTGGCTTGTAATGGTTTAATCCTTTTTCTTGTGAACAAAGATATTCTGACAATGGGGTCAGTTCACTAAGAGATAAATACTGCATGGTTTTTTTGAGTTAAAATAACTCATGCGGTATTTATTTCAAAAGTAGTCAATTCACTAAAAAAACGTGTTATTTACCGAATGCGTAAATTTTTGTTTTGCGATACTTGGCATTTAAATCTTGTGTTATTTTTGGCAGTGTTTTTTCACAATTTTTTTTTTTTTTTTTTTTTTTTGCAGGCTAACATTACACCAGAACACAGCAATTATGTGAAACGATGAAAACATTCTAGTGTGATTTCATTGACTAAATGATCTCCTTCTGATGAAATGTTACAATTTATTTTCATTCCTGAGCTCAGAGGAGTACATTTTTACATGCATACATTGTATACCTTTCACTTTCTGGCCAGTGCAGAGTTCCTCTAATAGTTGTTACAGTTCTAAAATACCTGGTGATAAATAACGAATGTGTTTTTTAATGAATTAACTTTAATGATTTATCTCATGTTTTTTGCAGTATTTATCTCACTATTTTTAACAAATGTGCGATATTTTACTTTGATGAATTGACTCTTATCGCATGCGATCATTTATGCAAATGAATCACGTGACCGTGTTAGCGCATGCAGTAACCTTTAGTGAATTGACCCCCAATGTGTGCAATAGTTTAACATGTATGCAACCCCAAATCTATCTTTCAGTATTTTTAGTATCTTATCTCATTTTACAAAGTTTTCCTAACCCTTTCACTGCCACCAGTTTTCAGGATTGCAATGGTGGCATCTTCAACATGTAAACCACTTTTTATAGCAGCGTTTTTTCACCTTTTACAGTGAGATGTATGCTTGTTGATAGAAATGATTCAGGAGGCTGCAAAGGCGATCAATCACCTCTACAACCCCAATTCTAAAAAAGTAGGGATGCTGTGTAAAATCTACATAAAACAATGCAATAATTTGTAAATCTCATATTCTTGCAGCTGTTAATTTTTAGTACCACTTTGCCAGCTTTTGGTTACCTGTCCCAACTTTAAGACATGTTGCTGCCATCAGTTTCAAAATTACCATATTTTTTTTTTCCTCTTAAAACAGTACATTTCTATTGTGAAAAAAATATGGGTTTATGAAATTTGCAGATCATGGCATTCTGTTTATTTGTAGATTCTACATAGAGTCCCAACTTTTTTGGAATTGGGGATGTACAGTATCTCACAGAAGTGAGTACACCCCTCACATTTTTTGTAAATATTTTATTCTCTCTTTTCATGTGACAACACTGAAGAAATGACACTTTGCTACAATGTAAAGTAGTGAGTGTACAGCCCAAAGTGTCAATATTTTGTGTGGCCACCATTATTTTCCGGCACTGCCTTAACCCTCTTGGGCATGAAGTTCACCAGAGCTAGACAGGTTGTCACTGGAGACCTCTTCCACTCCTCCATGATGACATCACAGAGATGGTGGATGTTAGAGACCTTGCGCTCCTCCACCTTCCATTTAAGGATGTCCCACAGATGCTCAATAGGGTTTAGGTCTGGAGACATGCTTGGTCAGTCCATCAACATTACCCTCAGCTTCTTTAGCAAGGCAGTGGTCATCTTGGAGGTGTGTTTAGTCTCCGAAGGGAGGGGATCATGCTCTGCTTCAGTATGTCACAGTACATGTTGGCATTCATGGTTCCCTCAATGAACTGTAGCTCCCCAATGCCGGAAGCACTCATGCAGCCCCAGACCATGACACTCCCACCACCATGCTTGATTGTATGCAAAAAAGAATGAGAGAGGGCGCACTCTCCTCTTGTATTACTGTGATACAAAGAAATTTATTGTGATAAAAACAAATGGATACTCACAAACCAATAGGTCATAAAAACAAAGAGCGAGCCACAATTGACAGTCCCAAGTAGCGGGAATCCTGTAGTGGAAAGTGTTAACGTGTTTCGGGAGTTGAGCTCCCTTCTTTAGAGATAAGATGCTATACATGTGGATGGTCAATAAATAGGGGACCAAATGGTAAGGAAGACCTTGACTGTAGGCAAGACACACTTCCGGTTTCTGTCTAATGTAAACAGATGATTACGAGCCTGTGAAAGCATCAGATTAAACTGATCTGAGTTTGATCTCATGCTTTGAAGACCCCAGATCTCTCTATAATGAGGATCTGTCACTGCTCCAACTATCACAAGGGATGCTGTTCATCTCTTGTGATAGCCATAAAGGGATAAAAAAAATAGAGACAGTGTAAAAATTAAAAATAAATAAAATGTTTTAAGCCCCCTAGTCCCCCCGTGCAAAGGGAAATACATACTTAGGTCGCGCACGCATATGTAAACAGTGTTCACACCACACATGTAAGGTATTGGCTTGAACGTTAAATGCTAATTTTTACATGTATAGTCAGGGATGTTCGATTCATATCACCCGATGCCCAGGACATGTAGTTCCAGGCGTCGGCAGGTAGTTTTTTTCTACCTTTTAGCCTTGCTGCGGACAAGCAGTGTGCTCACCTGTCAAATAGTGGTGTGAACCTTCTGCGCTTCTACCTGCAATGTAATACAAAAATCAAAGAGAAGCTGCTAACATCCAATCATATACCAATGATCAAATAAGTGCGATGAGAAAAAATGATGCAGCGCTACTCACAAACCATAAGTCACATATTATACTAATGTATGCATAAAAATAGAAAAAATATATAAAGTGACACAATGTGCAAAAGAAAAAATGTGATTAGATCCACATGGGTTCTTTACAAATATCTGACCGTGATCTGATCCTGACCGGATCCAAAGGTGGAACACAGATTCTTCAGAACAGAAATAGATATTGGCTTATACCCTAACCGTATACCTGGAGAGGATATCGCCACCAATACGCACACCCCAGAGAGGGAGATCGTTGCAGGGAGAGATATTCAGTGACAGAGGAACCATACACATGGAGGATCCAGAGTTGTGATCCCAAAAGTGTTTTGACCCCTGCGGGTCGAAGCAATGAGGTGAGAGGCTAATTCAGCTACTTACGGATACTCTTCTGTGGTTACCCACATTCACTATCCACGGGCACGTGTGTACATCTTGGTTATTGGATTGCGTGGTGGTGTTAGCATCATTTTGGACTTTTTTTCACATATATTTTGTTGTTTTTTTGTCTTTTTTTTGTCATGCGTTTTGTTGCATGCTTTATGTCAGATAAGACTGCACGGACATTTTCCACTATTGCATATATATATTTTGAATTTGATATGTATCTGATGTACAGTGAGGAAGAGAAGTATTTGAACACCCTGCGATTTTGCAAGTTCTCCCACTTAGAAATCATGGAAGGGTCTGAAATTCACATTGTAGGTGCAGGGGTCTGAAATTCACATTGTGTAGGTGCAGGGGTCTGAAATTCACATTGTAGGTGCAGGGGTCTGAAATTCACATGTAGGTGCAGGGGTCTGAAATTCACATTGTAGGTGCAGGGGTCTGAAATTCACATTGTAGGTGCAGGGGTCTGAAATTCACATTGTAGGTGCATTCCCACTCTGAGAGACAGAATTAAAAAAAAAAAATTCAGGAAATCACATTGTATGATTTTTAAAGAATTTAATTGTCTTGCACTGCTGAACATAAATATTTGACACCTGAGAAAATCAGTGTTAATATTTGGTACAGAAGGAGAACTTGCAAAATCGCAGGGTGTTCAAATACTTCTGTTCCTCACTGTATATACCTTTTATATGGATACACCATTTAGTGTTTTGAGTTGATATATTTTTTGCATTATTTATGCACATCTGGTCTTGCAGAAAACATTCACTTGCATGTTTATGCGTTTGTTCTTAATTTGAGTCCAATTCCTTGGACATATGACCCACAAGTCCCTATTTGGACTATTATTCACAATCACCTTCAAATCCTGTTTAGGATTAACTCACTCTTGTTACTTACTTGATGTAAATATCGGTTCACACACATTGTTTATTACCATTTATGTGGTTGTATATTTTTCACTTCTTATTCACCTTTGGATCCAGTCAGGATCAGATCACGGTCAGATATTTGTAAAGACCCCATGTGGATCTAATCACATTTTTTCTTTTGCACATTGTGTCACTTTATATATTGTTTCTATTTTTATGTATGCATTAGTGTTATATGTGACTTATGGTTTGTGAGTAGCGCTGCATCATTTTTTCCTCAGTGCTCACATGTCACTTGTGGGCGGCACTGCTGGGCACGGTGGGTGGCACTGGTGGTTGGCACTGCTGGGCACTGATCATCAGTGCCGATCCCTCCTCTGACATTTGCCGGTTATCGGCAGTACTTTCCTTACACTGTGACAGCGTGAGGAAAGTGCAGCTGATAACCGGCAACTGCATTTACCGGTGATCTGCTGTGTCATTGGACACAACTGATCACATGGTAAAAGGCCGCTGTGATTGGCTGTTTTCCACATTATGTGATCATCTGTGTCCGTAGGACACGGAGATCGCCGGGAGCGTGTGGGAGGGCGCATGGTGGGAGGATGTTATATGATGCCCTCCCAGAACTGACCGGCCGTGGTGAAGCCATCTATCAGCTATCTGTGGTCAGCAATAAATGACACCACAAGAGTGACACTTTTTTTTTTTTTTTTTTTTTTTTTTGTGCATTTCTTGATCTACAGATGTTTGAATGCAGCCAGAATGAGACGTTGCTCCTGCTGTATGGTGGAGATCCTGCCAGTAACAGCACTTCCTGTTAAACCTATCCCACATAGACAATGTAATGTCTGGATGGGAGAATCATACCCCTGAACATTAGAATGATTGAGATCGGTAATGAAAGTTCTTAGAACTTGATTTATTAAAGGAGAGAGCTGAACACAGTTGTGGTGCAGCTGACTGAATGTTTTGTGCAACATTGGGCCTAGGACCTGAGTGCCCAACCTGTGGCCCTTTGGCACTTTTTGTGTATCCCTAAGGGCCCCTGCAGGCAGAAATCTGTGTTTCCTTATTGTCTTGTAGCAGCAGTGATCTGCAGTCTCATGTAATGTGTCTCCAATCCCTGACTGTTATACGAAGCATGTTACCCCAGTCTCCCAACAACTCTAGCAATTTTGCAGTCTCTATCCACCTCGTACAACATGTCTCTGACCCTCTCTTGCAGCATGTCGATAGTCTTTGACCATCTCCCGTTGTATATCTGCAGTTTCTGACCCTCTCTTGTAGCATGTCTATAGTCTTTGACCATCTCCTGTTGTATCTGAAGTTTCTGACCCTCTCTTATTGCATGCCCATAGTCTTTGACCATCTCCCGTTGTATATCTGCAGTTTCTGACCCTCTCTTATTGCATGCCCATAGTCTTTGACCATCTCCCGTTGTATATCTGCAGTTTCTGACCCTCTCTTATTGCATGCCCATAGTCTTTGACCATCTCCCGTTGTATATCTGCAGTTTCTGACCCTCTCTTATTGCATGCCCATAGTCTTTGACCATCTCCCGTTGTATATCTGCAGTTTCTGACCCTCTCTTATTGCATGTCCATAGTCTTTGACCATCTCCCGTTGTATATCTGCAGTTTCTGACCCTCTCTTATTGCATGCCCATAGTCTTTGACCATCTCCCGTTGTATATCTGCAGTTTCTGACCCTCTCTTATTGCATGCCCATAGTCTTTGACCATCTCCCGTTGTATATCTGCAGTTTCTGACCCTCTCTTATTGCATGCCTATAGTCTTTGACCATCTCCCATTGAATGCCTGCAGTCTTTGACAGCTTTGTTGATGTCAGTGGCCACACTTGTCCCCTTCTATCATTGGAGTTGAACATCATTGGCCTAAAGTAGTCTGTGTTTTGCTGTGCCCCTATCTGGAGAGCAATTTAACAGCAAGCAGAATGCTGACATGACAGTGTGAGGTACACATGCTTTTCTGTAGACCTATTATGCATCCCATATATAATGCAGATTTCTTTTTCTTTAGTTTACAATGGATTTTGGATAAACAGGATTTATTAAAGGAGCGCCAAAAGGACCTAAAATTCCTAACAGAAGAAGAGTATTGGAAGCTGCAAATATTTTTCACAAATGGTAAGCAGGATCTGCCCATCATAAACATGTTAGCTCTAATATGAATGTAACTGAATTCAGAGGGTATAGATATTGGCGGGCAGTGGGAGCTTTGTTTCAGCAAGTTGTTGAAGTAAGTATGGGATAAAGAAACGTTGGCAAGGGTGTTCACAAGGGGCACATTTTATGGGATTGTAGAATTTTCTTGTAAAATACAGTCTACCTGTTCCAATATTTGTCCTCGCAAACTGCAGAAGCAATATGAGCTAATAGAAAATATTTCTAAAACAAAATGGAAACATCCACAAAATTTTATAAATTGGTTGTTTTTGTTTGTGTGTTGGTTTTTTTTTTTTTTACAATGGGTTAACTGTGGGGTTTTTTTTTTTTTGTTTTTTTTTTTTTTTTACACACACCTTCCCCAGCAGATGCATAATTAAATAGAAAGGAATACTCCCCCTAAAATATGGTCCCACATTCTTCCTCGCCATGGTGCCAGTAGCGATGGCCGAGCCACAGAAGCCCCTCTCCTTCTCATGTCGTGTTGCTGCCCCTGGCTCTTACACCACCTGCAATACAGGATTAATGGTAACTGTTGGTCCTGCATAGTGTAAGATGATATTCATGTCCTGCCTAAATTCCAGCACTGGAGAGAAGAGGATTGGAGCTCCTGCTGCTGTGAAACTTTTGGTTAAATCGAATCTAAACACAAGAACAAAAAAATGATACTATTGCAGCTTACCTGTCCTTAGATGTGGTAGCTGCATTAGTTTTCTCTTTTTATACTTCATTCCCTATATTTTAACTTTGTATTTCTGCCATTAACAGACTTCTTGTTTTAGGGTGTGGTGTTAACTAGTGGTGCATCAAAATGAAATTTCTAGTGCCAAAACCGAAAATTCAGGATGCACTTTGCCGAAAAGTGAAACCGCAAATGTCCATGTATGTGGGGAGGCTTAAATTTTAACTTTTTTTTTTTTAACTTATGATTTTATTGCTATCACATAGGGGACTAATAATCCTCTATGTGATAGCATATACGTGACAGGTCCTCTTTGTAGGGGGGTGGGGGTGGGGGCAGTGTGTGCAAGAAGAGGAGCAGTGTATATAGACAGGTTCCCTCACACGCCGCCACTAAATGTCATTACCAGCTTTTAAATGCAATTGCCGGCTTTTTTGTAAATTTTTTTTTATAGCCCCGAGAAGGAGATGTCATTCACCCCACCGCTAAAATAAAGGGGCGAGGTTACTGGGTTACTCCGCCACTTTGTTTACTTTAGCAGCGGGGCGAATGACAGCTCCTTTTCGGAAGTATAAAGTGAAGGAAAAAAAAAGCTAGCAATTATATTTAAAAATACACACAGCTTCCCTAAACCCCCGGCCAAATAGTCTGCCACTGATTGGGGCCCAGGTCTCATTATTGGCACCTGTATTGGCTCACTTTGTCCTATCGGCAAAATGCTGATAGGGTTATTTTTGGCCGATATGTTTCAGCCGCCGGAATTTCGGTGCATCTCTAGTGATAACTGTACTGAGCAGCATTATCACCCTAGGAAAGAGAGTGTGTTAAGTGAGGGAGGTAATTTGTACTCTGCAGTGATGGCAGGGAACAATGCTGGTAACAGAAAGCACAGGTCGTTTTTAGCTCACAAGATTTTTGGCTGGATGTTGGATACTTTTTTGCACTCATTTATATTTTAACAGACCAAAAGGGAGTAAATAAAATAACAATTGTTAGAGTTTACATGCACTTTAAAGTGGTTGTAAAGGGTGAAGGTTTTTTTTTTTTTGCATGAAGGTAAAAAAACTTTAATGTGCAGTTCTCCCCGCTGCCCCCCCCCCCCCCATACTTTCCTGAGGCCGATCTCGATCCAGCGATTTGGCTTCCACTGCTGTCAATCACAGCCAGTTAGGAGGGAGCGGCCGGACTGAGCATGCTCTGTTTGTCCCATAGACACACAGGCAGCTCGAGAGCGAGCATGCACCAAGTGCCCCCAAAGCAAGCAGCTTGCTCTGGGGGCAATCAGCAAGGGGGAGGGGTCAGAAGCGCTGGTGGGGGCCCTGAGAAGAGGAAGATCAGGACTGGTTTTGCACAGAGCAGGTAAGTATGATGTGTTTATTATTTTAAAGAAAAAAGAATAAACCTTTAGGACCACTGTAAGGTAAGTATTATTCACTGTTAAATCCCATTTAGATAAAACAAAAAAGTAAAGTGTTGACTAAAGTTTTAAAGTTTGACTAAAGTTGAATAATGCCCTTGCTTTAGGTGTGGCCTGGTATTGTTCGGGGGGGGGGGGGGGGGGGGGGGGGCATGCATGCTCATTCCCCTCCCTGGGGTGCCAGACTGCATGCTCGGATAAGGATCTGGTATGGATTTTGTGGGAGGGAGCTTCATACCATCCTTTCCTTTTTTTTTTTTTTTCAATAGGCATGGGGTCCCCTCAAAATCAATACCAGATCTGAAGGGCTTGGTATGGATTGGCAAGGGGCCCGCTCTCTTTATGTTATTTTTTTTATTGTTGGCTCTTCTTTTGTTTGCATTCTGCTGTCTGCAGGGAATTCCTGCTGACAGTAGATGAGTCATGGTTGTTGAAGACACTGCTGGTGCCAGCTCTTTAACAACCAACTATTCACTGAAATACTGAAATTCCGCATCACTACTAAATTACCGCCTCACTTCAAGAAATAGCGCATGTGGTATTTTAGTATGAATTTTTGAAAAATGCTATGATTTATTTCACCACTGATCTTAAAGCGGTGGATACTGTTTCATGAATTGAGCCCAGTGTCTCTATGACTAAAGCATTTCACGCGCTTGTTTTACTTTGCTAACTAATATACCTTTTTAGTGAACAACTTGTGTTGCTATTTTATTTGCAGTTATCCAAGCTTTAGGGGAACACCTTAAATTAAGACAACAAGTTATAGCTACTGCCACTGTTTATTTTAAAAGATTCTATGCACGGTAAGTTCTAACGCGTTGTTGTTTCTTGCTTGCTCTGCTATTCCATGTCTTATAACTTGCTTATCTGCTGTTCATCTGATTTAATGTGCAGCCAATTAGGGGTAGTCTGCACTTTGTTGATACATCAAGTACAAAACCATTAATGCCGCTTGTTGCTCATAGCAAGTGATAAAAGTGATCTATCTCTTCAGGTATCAAAGTTAAATCAAGTCAAATAATAAAATGTATACTCCCCTGTTTCTGGCTAAAATCATTGTTAAGCCCCACCCTTTCCTGATACTAAGCCACACACTTATTCAGATGTCAGAGCCTCTACTGCCCACTTGCATGCTAATTGAAAGGTTGGGCGGTGAACCCTAATCTAGACGTCAAGGTACCATGTACAGGCAAATATCTAAGAGGGTGACTTAAAGTGTTACTAAACCCATAACCGTAAAATCCGTCTGTATATGAAGTAAAGCATGCTTGTTATACCCACTGTGGACCCTAAGGCGTTAATCCTCTACATTGTGTAAAAAGGATGTTTGATTCTGTCTTCTCTGATCCTCCCCTTCTTCCACAGTCCCCATTCCAGCTGCTGATAGAACAGAACCTTGGGGGCAAGCTGCAAATGCTCAGTTTGGTGTGTATTGCTTGAGAGTTTTTTTTCCTTTTTTGCATGTGATCTGCACAGGGCTAATCAGCGCTGTCCAGACAGAGGTCAGGGGTTGGGCAGCCTCATAGGACCATCAGGGAGAATGAAAACTCATTTTTGCAAGCTTTAACCAGTGCTCTGCTGGACACTGATAGAAGTCAAAAGGCTGCTCTAACTGCTGATGAGAAAAGGTATTTAGCAGTTTTTATTTACTAAAACAATTGCACTTCCACGTTCTGTGTACTGTGGGAGACCAGATATAGTGAATGCAGGGTCCTGGGTTTAGTAACACTTTTAAAGCGGAGTTCCACCCATTTTTAATACTTTACCTTATTATGTAGTCTCTGTGAAATAAAGCACAAGTTGGATGGTTTTTTTTTTATTATACATACCTTTTTGTCCACTGCAAGCCTGCAGTTCTGGTCCCGACCGCCTAGGCGATGAAGGCGATTTGCAAGGTCCCCTGGGATGTCGTTTCCTGTATCCCAGGAGTCCTTTGGTTTCCTGTAATCGCGGGACTTGGAAATGGCGCAAATGGGAGGTGTTTCGCGCCATTATACCAGAGTCCATGATATATTCCCTTCCTTGCAGTACAGTGCTGTACAGGTTGCCTGACGGGGCGGGAACTTCATCCGTCCCACCATTGTTATGGCAAACTGTACTGCACATGTCGCGCTGAGCAGTGTCTGTACTGCGCATGCGCGAGTGGTGCATGTTGGGATAGCCAGCAGCACGATTCCAGGAAATAAATACCTGTGGGCTTCAGATGCCCACAGCTATCATGGCGCCTGCCTGCTTCCGAGATCCTGGTAAATGTTTACGAATTTCTAAGTAATTACAATGCTTTTAATATTGAATTATTCCAATTGTTAATGCCATCGTGGATCTGCTTTTAACAAAAAAAAATTTTTTAGGGGGACTGGAGCTCTGCTTTAAAGATAGGTTTCATTTTTGCAATCCTAAAAATATGTTTATCTTATATTTGTGCTTTTTTTTAGTACATGTTTTATATACATAGTTTATAAGGCTGAAAAAATTACAGGTTCAGTCTTTTTGTATGTGATTTTTATTCTTTAACATTTCCCATAGCCCTGTTTGTTCTGCTTCCTGAGAAGGGAATCTAAAGGTTGTCAACACTCGCCTAGTACGATTTCCTGGGGGAGGGAGTTCCACATTTTTACTGCTCTAACAGTAAAGAACCATTTCTGCGATGTAAAGTTAAACCTCCATTCTTGTAACATTAAATTATTGCTGCTTGTCCTCAAGGATCGTAGATTAAACAGTTTATGATGTCACTTTGATATATTTTTACTTTATAATCATGTCTCCTCATAAGTGCCTCTTCTCCAGTGTGAATAGCTGTAATCTATGTAATCGATCCTCATAGCTGAGGTCCTTCATCCCCTTTATTAATTTTGTTGCCCTTTTTTGAACTGTTTCTAATTCAGCAACATCTTTTCTTAAGCTTGCTTACCAACACTGAGCTACATATACTAGATGAGACTGAACAAGTAAAGGGGTAGAGTTATTCATTTATCTCTGAAATGTGTGTCCTTAATGCAACTAAACAATGTGCAGTTTGCTTAGAGATTGATATACTAGTCTGTCACAAATTGCATGTTTTGAGGTTTGTAATTTTTTTTTCTTTATCAGGTATTCTTTGAAAAGTATAGACCCTGTGTTAATGGCACCAACATGTGTGTTTTTGGCATCCAAAGTAGAGGTAAGGAATAAATCATAAAAAAACAGAGTTTCTGATTATTAGAGCAAATACATGTTGGTCAATAGAAACTGGAAGCTGTAACATGTCATCTGCACCCCAGTTTTGAGGATTCCTGAGCACAGTAAAGACCATTTAAAGATATGAGCATGCATAACTTGGAACCATTTTGGGAAGCGAGAACCAGCCACAGATTCACTTTAATTACATAAAATATCATCATGGTCTGGGAATAGGTCTTAAATGGTCAATAGTAGTGCTAATATAAGGAAAGCAGCATAGAAATTTCAGGTAGCTTTTTGTAGTTGAACATTAAATAAAATCTACCATAATAGAAATTAAATTTATGTTCACTGTGCCTGTCTCAGTTTTTGAGTTTGGACAGTAAGGCAGGACTGCTCGTATAAATGTAACATTTAAAAACTACTATTCTGATTTTTAGGAGTTTGGTGTTGTATCGAACACAAGGTTAATCTCTGCTGCTACTTCTGTATGTAAGTATCTGTTTCTTTTACAGGGAACAAGAAAAATGAAATTGATAATTGTATTTCATTAAAGATTATTCTTCAATAGCCACAAAGAATAGCAAACTTACCTTTTGTGCACCAAATGCCTTTGCAAAGCCAGTATTTAAGTAGCAGCGACATCATTACTGCACTGCACTGCACTGCACATAGCCCATGCAGAGAGCAAAGCTATGAGAGGGACCCTACAGGTCCTTCCCCTACAGACTGTCTATAGAAGACTACAGGAGGGCAGATACAAGACCAGTTACCCTGCACAAGGAAAGATAGCAGCAGTGACTAGTCTGCATTACAGGAAGTTCCTGTACAAAGCTTGCCTTTTTTTTGTTTTTTATCATGACTGACTGGGTGTTGAAAATGAAAACAGGTTCACCTTATACAGTGTTTACTAAGCTCCTTTAGTAAATCATCTCCATTTTGTTAATTTTTTTTTTTTCTTGCTAAAAAGAACACAAAGCCAGGCCGTGACTAATATATATTATATATATATATATATTATATATATATATATATATATATATAATTATGATAATTATATAAAAATGTATTTAAACCCATTAGGGGTCAAGACATCTGAAGATACAGTTCCACTTTTAATGGTTCAGTTCTTCACAGAGTGGTCTGGCAAGCTGGATCACATGTTTGCTTTTTTATCTCTTTATCTCTTCAATATCTCCACCAAAATGTCAAATTTCTGTAGTCATTGCAAATCCATGTGACAGTCACTATCTTCAAAACTGGCCATAGACTATTAAAAGGTAAATGTACGTACCAGAAGGATCCAACCACCAAATATTTTTAGCTTGAGAGCGCATTTGTGTTTGTGCAGAAAGGAGTGGCTTGCAATCTCAGTATAATGGTTGGTGAATTATTTCTGTATGTTTCTTTGCAGTAAAAACTAGGTTTTCTTATGCATTCCCAAAGGAGTTTCCTTATAGGATGAACCATGTAAGTAGATGCTGTCAATATTTTTTTTTTTTTTTTTTTGTCTGTTCTAAATGTCATAGCCATTACACTAGCTTTTCCCGATTATTGCAGCAAAGGATCCTCTCATTTTGTGTCACTTAAAGGATAAGTTCACCTTTCGTGACGTTACCTGTTACACCCATATTCAGGTTGTAACATGTTACGATATGATCAGAGCAGCCCTGCTCCCCTCTTTTACAGCTAGCGGGAGCTAGCTAAAAGTATGTTGCCGTGCAGGGCTCCGCCCATCCTCTGTGAATGAGAACAGTCGTAGCAGCTGTCGGCTTGTAGTCAGACCAGCCCTGCTCCCCTCTTTTAAAGCTAGCGGGAGCTAGCTAAAAGAATATGGCCGTGCAGGGCTCCGCCCACCCTCTGTGAATGAGAACAGCCATAGCAGCTGTCGCTTGTAGTCCTCATGAACTACCACTGTGCTGTGGAGCGCTGTGGTAGTGTGTGCATTCTTCCTGTCAGTATATCTTCTTGCTCGTACATACTGTATGGGTAAGCAGATATATTGACAGATCTGCAGGAGACCTGCATGGCACCAGCAATCTGCTGATCGCTGGTGCCATGCTTTACAGGTTCCTGCAAACAAAAATAATATGCATTTTTTTTACCTGGAAAAAAAAAATGTGCATTTATTATTTTTTACTAAAAGGTAAACTTATCCTTTAAAGCAGAACTAAAGTCCCAGTACTTAACTCTGCTTTAGCAGTCCAAGGTCCCAAGCTGGCAAGTTCTCCTTCTTCTGGGTGTAGGTCTTCGGTCCGTTTGGTTGGCCAGTGCTAGATGATGTCCTTCCTGCACAGGAGTGCGGTTTTCCCAGCACAAAGGCACTGTTCCCAAATGTAAACTAAGCTGCGCATGCGCAGCTTAGTGTACATTCTACAAATATCTGTGCACAGGCAGGTACATAAAAATTTTATTGTAGAAGAGACAATATATGTCTTCTGCAATGAAGATCCTGCCTGCTTGCAATTTTTTAAATTAAAACTTTTTAGTTCTTCATTATCTAATATCCAATTTGTCCATTTTATCCTAGTCTTGTACCACACTTCTGTTTGTTAAAACTGTTCAAAAATTTGTTTTCATTTTTCTGGCTTAAAATTTAAGGAAGCTATCTATGTGCATAATGTGCAGCAACTTGATCACTTCTGCGGGTAGCAGAAAGGTTCGATCATCTCTCCAACCCCCACCCCCCTGCCACCTTTCCTGGGCTCTCCCATCTAATAGCTGAGCCCAGGACCACTGCGATCGGCGGCACTATACAGAGAGGAAGGAACTGACGTTGTTCCTCTCTGTGGCTCCAGAAACTGGAAGTGTCGAGGATTTAGTCACTTACTGTTTTGGCTCTTTGATTATCTGACTGTTAGAGGCCAGGAAAGCAGCCAATGAGACCGATCTGTGTCTGATTGGCTGCATTGGAAGCCAGAGGAGAAATTTGGGAGAGAAGAGCTCTCTATAAAGAAGACCTGTCATGGCCCATGCTTTCATAAGGGACATTGTTCGCCCCTTGTGAAAGCAATACATTTCATATAAAAAAAAAAAAAGAATAAAAATGAAAATTGCCCAAATGCGAACACATGCGTAAGTCCTGCATGCATATGTAAACGGTGATTGCACCACATTTGTGAGGTATAGTCACAAGTGTCAGAGCGAGAGCAAAAATATTAGCTCCAGACCTCCTGTGTAACTCTAAACTGGTAACCTGTAAAGGCTTTTAAAGCATTGCATATGGAGATTTTTAGGTATCGTAGTTTGCTGCCTTTCCATGGGTGTACACAGTTTCACATGTTGGGTATCTGTTTACTCGGCATAACATATATTTTAACAAAAAAAAATTAGGTTTTATATAGTGTTTGTGTGCAATAAAATTCATTAAAATATATTTCCCCAAAAAATTTGCGTTTGAAATACCATTGTGCAATTGCCATGTGACATAAATTGCAACCCCCCTCTATTTTATTCTTTAGGGCCTCTGCAAAAAAAAAAAAAAAAAAAAAAAAAAAAAAATACTGATTTTTACAGGTAGGAGAGAAATGCCAGTATTAGCCTGGTAGGGAAGTGGTTAATGTTTATGTAATTACTCCATCTTCTTTTTTTCTTTCCTTTTTTTAATGCAGTTCTTTTATCTTTTCATAGATACTGGAATGTGAGTTCTATCTGTTAGAATTAATGGTAAGTAATAGAGATTTTGTGTACTGAGATATCTTAGGTTTCTGTGACAGTTGGTTTCTCTTTGTTCTTATAATTATCCAGATATAATGAGTTGCCTCTTTGCTTGCTTTGTCAAAGCTTGAAATATGTTTGATACAGTGGCATCAAAACCTAAGGTGTTATAAAGTGTTAATATTCATTTAAACACAGACGTATGATTAAAGAATCTTAGTGTGATGATTTTTTGTCTTGCCTATCTAGTAAAAAGTATTTTTTTTTAGTAGCTTCTGCTATTTTAGTATTTAATATTGTTTGCCATAGTATTGACTGCGGTAATATATGTTTAGTGGTCATTACTTGATAATCAGGGCTAAGGCAAGTATACCAATGATTCTAAATAATATTGAATGCTTTAAATGTGTGTTGTGGTTGGGGATTAATTCAGTCTGTTAATATGATTTACCTCTGTCCTTGTCCTCTCTGGAGCCTGCCAAATTCTTTAGATCCTCTTCAGATTGCTGGGTCGATGCTAAATGCCAGACTAGTAGACGTCTATGGAAAGTTTTATACGCCTAGTCAGAGCAACTAAAGGAAAATACTTTAGAACTGTAGCTTTCAGAAGTATGGTCACAGAAAGGACTGACATTAAATGCCCCCACTGCGTCCTTTTTTCAAACAGTTTAAAGTGTGAGTTGTAATAGAAACATGGTTGCAGAGCATAGACTGTATGCATTTTATAAAACTCTAAAATATATTAGTTGTGTGACCTTTTTTTTTACTAACCTAGCATAGGGACTTTTCTTTCAAGAGATCATTTAGATAAAGTAGTTAGCAGAATCCGTTTCCCTAGAAAAAAAAGATGGTCACATAATTTAAACCATTAATCACCAGATAAAGATAAAATGTTTTAACTTTTTCCATCTGTTCTTTTATTTCTGCTTGTTTTCAGGACTGTTGTTTGATAGTTTATCATCCATATAGACCCTTGTTACAGTATGTACAGGACATGGGACAAGAAGACATGCTGCTTCCTCTAGCATGGTAATCTGCTTTTTTAGGTTCTTATTTGCACATCTGTATTTTTAAGGGGCAGTACTATACACATCTGAATTTTTGATTTTTACTAGCTGTTGGAAGGAATAGAGCCTAAGCATAACTAAACCCCAAAACAAATTTGAATATATTGTAGCATACCAGTTGTTGGCTGTGGTGGCTGCATTAGTTTTTTTTTTTTTCAGGCTTTTATTCCTTTATTTTTACCTGGTGATTGGCCAGTAACACACCTAGCTACTTTCACTCTTCCACTGCATCTGTGGTGCAGCAATGTAGCCATCCTTGGACAACAGCATTGTCCGTCAGTGCATTTTTTAGTAAAGTACGAAAAGACTAGAACCTCTGTCTGTTTTCTGTTGCTGTATGTGTATTCGTGTTGCAATTGTTTTTCTCTTTGGAGAAAGCACTGTGACATAAGATGAAGGGATACCTCACTAATGGAGCCCAGATAGCAGTAAAACCCGACATGGGTTCCAATCCTTCTCTATTCTATTCACAGCTAAAAAAAGAAAAGTTTTTCCTGGCAACTTTGTGATTATAGTCAGTGGAGCCCCAGTGTGTCCTATTCCAGGCTGAGCATGTATTCTTGACTTCTTCCTAAGCAACAAATACACCCCACCCTTTGCCACTTAGCTGCCAAATGCCCAGAATTGCAATGAGCAGTAGAGGCTATGGTATTTCATAATGATAGAAGGTGGGGCTTAGAGCCATCCCGTTCGATCCTCCTAAAAACTCTTGCTGTCTAGCCCATTTGTTGCCTCTTCCAGTGTTCATCTCACAGGATTTCTTCAGAGCCTCTGCCATTCTCTGGAACTCCCTACCCCAGTCCATCCCACTGTCTCCCATTCTCTCCACCTTCAGGCAGTCTCTGAAAAATAATTTCTTTGGGGAAGTTTATCCCATCTCTACCTAGCAACCTGTCATTTTACTTTCTCCATCAACTCATCCCCCACACTTACTACCTTTTGTATCATTTGACTCTCCCTTTACAGTGTTCCAAATTATTATGCAAATTATATTTTTCTCATTTACCTAAATAATTGATGTAAATAACAGTCAGCATAATTCTAATGTTATCAACTATTAAGAGTACAATTCAATTTTATTGAACAAACCTCCTAATGATAACAGTATTTTTTTTAAACATAAAAAACTTCCAATGCACTGTTCCAAATTATTACGCACAGTAAGTTTCAAAACACTTTATAGGTTGTAAAGAACTGAAAATTGTCATTTGTTGTGTTTGCAGCATATTTACTGAAATCAAAAGCTATTTCAATCAAACTTTTAACAACATTTTAACTTTTTAAACATTTTAACAGGTCACATTACATTGTAACATAGGAGCCCTTATTTGATAGCAGCTTCACAAGTCTTGCATCCATTGAAGTTCTGAGTTTTTGGACAGCTTCTGCTTGAATTTGTTTGCAAGATGTCAGAATAGCCTCCCAGAGCTGCTGTTTAGATGTAAACTGCCTCCCACCCTCATAGATCTCTTGCTTGAGGATGCTCCAAAGGTTCTCAATAGGATTGAGGTCAGAGGAGGATGGAGGCCACACCATGACTTTCTCTCCTTTTATCCCCATAACAGCCATTGATGCAGAGGTATTCTTTGCAGCATGAGATGGTGCATTGTCATGCATGAAGATGATTTTATTACGGAAAGCATAGTTCTTCCTTCTGTACCAGGGAAGAAAGTGGTCAGTCATAAACTCCACATACTTTGCAGAGCTCATCTTTACACCTTCAGGGCCCCTAAAGGGGCTGACCAGCTCTGTTCCCATGATTTCGGCCCAAAACATGACTCCACCACCGCCTTGCTGACGTCACAGCCTTGTTGGAACAGGGTGGCCGTCCACCAACCATCCACTACTCTATCCATCTGGACCATCCAGGGTTGCACGGCACTCATCAGTGAACAGGACTGTTTGAAAATTAGTCTTCATGTATTTTTCTGCCCAATGTAGCCGTTTCTGCTTGTGAGCATTGGTTATTGGTGGCCAAATAGAAGGTTTATGCACAGTTGCAAGACTCTGGAGGACTCTACACCTTGATGTCCGTGGGACTCCAGAGGCACCAGCAGCTTCAAATATCTGTTTGCTGCTATGTAATGGTATTTTAGCAGCTGCTCTCTTGATCCGATGCATGGATCTGGCAGAAATCTTCCTCAATGTGCCTTTATCTGCACGAACCCGTCTGTGCTCTGAATCCACCACAAATCTCTTAATCGTGCGATGATCACGCTTAGGTTTTCGTGAAATGTCGAATGTTTTAATACCTCGTCCAAGGCATTGAACTATTTCACTCTTTTCAGCAGCAGAGAGATCCTTTTTCTTCACCATATTGCTTGAAAATGGTGCTCTGCTTAATAATGTGGAATACCGTCCTTTAGTAGTTTTTCTTTAAATTGGGCTCACTGGCCAATCTAATTATCACAGGTGTCCGAGATTGTTTTCAGTGATCAAAAGAGCCCTGAGGCACAATACCATCCATGAGTTAAACAGAAAAACAAAATATTTAATCTTTGTCACACTTAAATAGAATTTGCATAATAATTTGGAACACGGTGTAGTTTGTAAACTCTCAGAAGCAGGGACCTCCTAAGCCTCATGTATTGAATTGTATAGTAACTGTACTGTCTCCCCTACTTATTGAAGAACACCTTAAACTGTTGGTGCTATATACGTTTTGTATAATAATAATGGGGCTTAATTTCAACCTGGCCAAATGTTGGAATGCCGTGTGCAGCGTGACAGTAAAATCCAGTGGTGCTCTAAAGGAGAACACAGATTGATATGAAGGCTAACACAGGTTCTCACAAAGACTGGAAGGTACCTTTTTTCTTCAGCACTGTTTTTTCAGCAATTTTAGGCTACATTCACTTTAAAGTGACCTCTAATACCCTTATTGTGACACTCTGACTAAAATATCAGACTTGGACAAAGTACATAAAGTTAAATAGGGGTGGAATATAAATTCTTCATATGTTTATAATACAATTAAAATTTAGGACTTATTCCTCTGTAAACCCAAATATACCAGGTTCTCTTTAAAGAGACGATGTCACCTATGAGCCCCCTGACCTCCTTTTACTCTTTTTTGCCTGTGCCCTGTTGTTATAAATCACTGCTGTCGGTGACTTGGTGATGTTTCCAGCTTCAGTGGAGAAAGAAGTGATGGAAACACTGTTGAGGCAAGTACAAGGTGGTTGGTGAGGGGCTCCCTTTGTAGAAACATTGTAACTATAAACCTGTATATAGTATTCCCAGAATTAATTTATATCAAATAAGGCATGTTGGGATAACATGCATGCCTCCAGCCATGTTGGGATAACGTGCATGCCTCTAGCCACTTGCACGCAATTCAAGCAAAACTTTTAATGTTATTTATATCACTAAAAAGTCTCTTATTCTTCTGGATGGAAAAAAACTACTAAAAAGCTAATTTTGAGAAAAAAAACCTGTACTGATGATGATTTGCCCCACTTCACTTTAGAACATTTATTTTGCCATAAGTGTCATTAATGCTGGTTTTCTTTGCATTGATACAGGAGGATAGTCAATGACACCTATCGCACAGATCTCTGTCTGCTGTACCCTCCCTTTATGATTGCACTAGGTATGCCGAACTGCCAAACACATGGCTTTTTTCTTAAAACAGTTTGTGGTGATTAAAAAGCAGATTAATTCCTGTTTGTGGGATTTCTGATGGGGTCATCCATTCTTTCACTCAATGGTCAGTTTATTATTTCAGGCCAGCTGAATAGGTTTAACTTTGTTGCCCTAGAACTTGTCTGTGACCTGTAAGAACATCGTTGAGAAGACTAATTTACAGGTGTTTAGTTTAATTCAGTTTCCCTTTACAATGGGAAAAACTTGTATGTAGCACTGACATTTTACTCAGATTACTATTTCTAGATCTATTCAGATAAGATAAGTAATTTCCATAGTATGTTATTGCTTTGCTGTACTGTTTGCAATACCACTTATACAGTGTGTGTGTGTGTGTGTTGTACTAGTTGAATGTTCTTTTTCTTGCAGCTTGTTTGCATGTGGCCTGTGTTGTTCAGCAAAAGGATGCTCGACAGTGGTTTGCAGAACTTTCTGTGGACATGGAAAAGGTTCCCCTTTTTTCTTATTTTAAATCAGCTTATTCCCTGAGCAGTAATGACATACACTATATTGCCAAAAGTATTGGGACGCCTGCCTTTACACGCACATGAACTTTAATGGCATCCCAGTCTTAGTCTGTAGGGTTCAATATTGAGTTGGCCCACCCTTTGCAGCTATAACAGCTTCAGCTCTTCTGGGAAGGCTGTCCACAAGGTTTAGGAGTGTGTCTATGGGAATGTTTGACCATTCTTCCAGAAATGCATTTGTGAGGTCAGGCACTGATGTTGGATGAGAAGGCCTGGCTTGCAGTCTCCACTCTTAATTCATCCCAAAGGTGTTCTATCAACTTGAGGTCAGGACTCTGTGCAGGCCAGTCAAGTTCCTCCACCCCAAATTCGCCCATCCATGTCTTTGTGGACCTTTCTTTGTGCACTGGTGTGCAGTCACGTTGGAACAGGTAGGGACCATCTCCAAACTGTTCCCACAAAGTTGGGAGCATGAAATTGTTCAAAAGGTCTTGGTATGCTGACACCTTACAGAGTTCCCTTAACAAACAACCCCACACCATAATCCCCCTCCACCAAACTTTGCACTTGGCACAATGTAGTCAGGAAAGTACCATTCTCCTGGCAAACCCAGACACATCCATTCGATTGCCGGACAGAGAAAATTGATTGGTCACTCCAGAGAACACGTCTCCACTGCTCTACAGTCCAGTGGCAGCATGCTTTACACCACAGCATCCAACACTTTCATTGCCCTTGGTGATGTAAGGCTTGGATACAGCTGCTTGGCCATGGAAACCCATTCCATGAAGCTCTCTATGCACTGTTGTTGTGCTAATCTGAAGGCCACACAAAGTTTGAAGGTCTTTAGCTATTGACTCTGCAGACAGTTGGTGATTTATGCGCACTCCAGCATGGGCAGACTCCGTTTGTCATTTTAGGTGGCCTACCACTTCATGGCTGAGTTGCTGTTGTTCCCAGCTGCTTCCACTTTGTTATAATACCACTAACAGTTGACTGTGGAATATTTAGTAGCAAGGACATTTCCTGGATTGATTTATTGCACAGGTGGCAACCTATCATGGTACCACACTTTAATTCACTGAACTCCTGAGAGCGACCCTTTCTTTCACAAATGTTTGTATAAGCAGTCTGCATGCCTAGGTGCTTGATTTTATACACCTGTGGCCATGGAAGTGATTGGAACACCTGAATCCAATGATTTGTAGGGGTCTCCCAATACTTATGACAATATAGTGTAAATAATAAAAGCTTCACCATAGACTATTCTCCTGTAACTGAGGCTGAAGATGATGAGTTTTCTGCCCCAAGCTGTGCTTTTGATTACAAAACATTTCTTACATTTTTCTACTTGTTTGTTTTATTGTTGTATTAGATCTTAGAAATTATCAGAGTTATATTGAAGTTGTATGAACAGTGGAAGAATTTTGATGAGAGAAAGGAAATGGCTGCCATACTTAGTAAAATGCCCAAACCAAAGCCTCCACCTAACAGGTAAAGGAACTTCAGTTTTCTTCACAAAGTAATAAATGTCCTTTTGTATTATCAATAACAGTATGGGTGAATTTCTTGGTAAAATGCGTGTGGGTAAACTTTGTCAGGGTAATTCAATAAAGCTATACCAGCTTTCTGGGGTTAGTTTCCTAAAGAACTACCTGTGCATACATCAGGCAAGAATTTGTGCCAGTATTGGTAATGTTACCAACACGTGGCAAATGCACGTAGTTCTAACTACCGCCACATTAAAAACCTGTTACTGTGACAGCTACAGATTCCTCAAGAATTACGGGCAGTTCTCAGATAAAGAAAATAGGGGTAATTAAGACCAGCTCTGAGCTGACATACAGAAGTGTATCATTACTCAAAGTAGGGCATGGCTGTGCTGCAATTTGAAAGCCACTATGTGGAACTGAAAAGCAGGTATGGATCTGCCCACTGCCATGTGTTTCCAATTAAAAGTAAAGTGTACCTTTTTGGGAGCTAGTATCTTAGTTCCCCATTGGGCACCACCCACTCCTCACAGAAATCCTCAGCTGTACACCTGTCAGTGTGACGTGAGCAGTGGCCGGCAACAGAGGAAACTCACTTACAAGGGAGTGTCCAGTACAGGCATTTGACCTTGTCAGGGGTGCAGTCAGATTCACGAACCTGTCTGCGGCACGTCAGATACATGAATCGGGTGCAAGCATCAAAACTATCAGTGCTGCCCTCAACAGAATTCAAAAACACCCTTAGGAATTCCCCCCAGAGTAGAATTCAGCGTGAAGTAGGTGGGATTTTGTTTTAAATGACTGACGTTTACCATGTTTATTATTGGGGCTCCGGTGTCAATCTAGGACAGCCTTTTTCAACCAGGGTGCCTTCAGGTTTCTTTAGGGGTGCCTTGGCAAAATGTCTAAAAATTGTATATATGCCAGCAGGTGGATCAAGCTTGCCTTTTAGTTACACAAAACATCAAGTATTCATTGTGCACCATTACAAATTTTCTACCCGCCGCTGACATAACGACCAATGATGTTATCAGTTGTTAAGAAAGACATCAGGCTCCTGCACAGCATCCTTGGCTTCCCCTCTACGTCAGCATTAGGGTAGAAAGATAAAACTGAGCACATTAGAATGAGAAAGATAAACTGAGGCAGAATAGAAACCATGGAATACTAGTCAATACCCGTGTGCAAAGTATATTTGCTTTGGAAGAATAAATCCCTCTCTAGTTAGGTGTCCCATATGTGCAGTTGTTGCTGCTGCATTCTATCCACTTCCATACAGGGCACTTTTACCCCCTTCCTGCCCAGGCCAATTTTCAAGTTTCAGCGATCTCACACTTTGAATGACAATTGCGCAGTCATGCAACACTGTACCCAAACAAAAAATGTTATCATTTTCTTCACACAACTAGAGCTTTCTTTTGGTGGTATTTAATCACTGCTGGGGTTTTTATTTTTTTGCTAAATTAACAAAAAAAGACCAAAAATTTTGAAAAAAAAACACATTTTTCTTTGTTTTTGTTATAAAAGTTTGCAAATAGATAATTGTTCTTCATAAATTTAGTCCAAAATGTATTCTACTACATGTCTTTGGTGAAAATAACCCAAATTAGGATGTATTATTTAGTTTGTAGGAAAGTTATAGAGTTCACAAACTATGGTATAGATCTGCATATTGATCAGTCCTGAAGTACTGACAGCCAATCTAATTTCTTGAGGTCCAAGAATGTCAGAATAGTACAGATATCCCCAAATGACCCCTTTTTGCAAAGTAGACAGTCCGACGTATTTCTTAACAGGCATGGCGAGTTTTTTGAAGTTGTAATTTTTTTTGTCATCATTTTTCGGAAATGAAGAAATAAAAATGATTTTTACTATTTTTTTTTTTTTGTACATACAGTCACCAGTGCAGTACAGTGTCCTCATATAACTGGCATGGCGGTGATCAGGGACACTGACTGGTGACAGTACAAAAAAAAAAATTATATATTTTTTTATTTTTTTATGACATTTTTTTCCCCTTTTTTTTTTTTTTTTTTCCTTTAATTTTTTTTTTCATATTTTACTATGAACAAAGTAGTATAATGTTACCATACATTGTACTACTTTGGGGAAGTGATCAGTATTTTTTTTTTTTACACAATTTGCTTATAGCAAAGAATTACTTTGCTATAAGCAAGCATTTACCTGAATGACATCAATTCATTCAGGGTTTTTTTTTTTGTGCTTAGCTGTAATTTGGCCACAGCTAATCACATGACACAGCTGGGCTGTGATTGGCCCAGCTTGTGCATGTGATTGCTGTGACCATTCACAGCTAGACACATTTGTATACAATGGATGACATGAAAGGAAGCCATCCATTGTATACAAATGTCATGTGACCTGCTGTACACAGATCTGTCATCGGCCGTGTCCGAGGTACACGGCCGGTGACAGATCACGCCGCTGCACGGCTCTGCTGGTAGGCAAACTGCGCATGCCTGAAAGGACACCATATGGCGTCCACCCAGAGGGACGAGGTGCTCGCCCGGCCGCCATCTGGCCATAGCTAGGCGGGAATCGGCTATAAAACTATCAGTTTCGTTTTTTACATTTTGTAATGGGTCCCTTGACTAAAAAAGGTTGAGAAACACTGATCTAGGAGACACGCAGATCACCAAATTAGTTTTTGTTAACCTGACAAAAAATACTTTTTTTAATATATTTCCTTTTCTTTCTTGGTGGGTAGCTCAGAATGCACTTAGAATGTGCAGCATTGTATATTGGTTATTATTGCTGACATACAGTGAGGAACAGAAGTATTTGAACATCCTGTGATTTTGCAAGTTCTCCCACTTAGAAATCATGGAGGGGTCTGAAATTCACATTGTAGATGCATTCCCACTCTGAGAGACAGAATTAAAAAAAAAAAAAAAAATTCAGGAAATCACATTGTATGATTTTTAAAGAATTTATTTGTCTTGCACTGCTGAACATAAGTATTTGAACACCTGAGAAAATCAGTGTTAGTATTTGGTACAGAAGCCTTTGTTTGCAATTACAGAGGTCAAACGTTTCCTGTAGTTCTTGACCAGGTTTGCACACACTGCAACAGGGATTTTGGCCCACTCCTCCACACAGATCTCCTCTAGATCTGTCAGGTTTTGGGGCTGTCGCTGAGCAACATGGAGTTTCAGCTCCCTCCAAAGATGTTCTATTGGATTTAGGTCTGGAGACTGGCTAGGCCACTCCAGAACCTTGATATGCTTCTTACAGAGCCACTCCTTGGTTATCCTGGCTGTGTGCTTCGGGTCGTTGTCATGTTGGAAGACCCAGCCACGACCCATCTTCAATGCTCTGACTGAGGGAAGGAGGTTGTTGCTCAAAATCTCACAATAAATGGTCACATTCATCCTCTCCTTAATACAGTGCAGTCATCCTGTCCCCTTCGCAGAAAACCACCCCCAAAGCATGATGTTACCACCCCCATGCTTCACAGTAGGGATAGTGTTCTTGGGATGCAACTCATCCTTCTTTTTCCTCCAAACACGACGAGTGAAGTTTAGACCCAAAAGTTCTACTTTGGTCTCATCTGACCACATGACTTTCTCCCATGCCTGCTCTGGATCATCCAGATGGTCATTGGCAAACTTCAGAAGGGCCTGGACATGTGATGACTTGAGCAGGGGAACCTTCCGTGCAATGCATGATTTGAAACTATGACGGCGTAGTGTTCTACCGGCAGTGACTTTTGAAACTGTGGTCCCTGCTCTCTTCATGTCATTGACCAGCTCCTCCCTTGTAATTCTGGGCTGATTCCTCACCTTTCTTATTATCAGTGATACCCCACGAGGTGAGATCTTGCATGGAGCCCCAGTCCGAGGGAGACTGACAGTCGTCTTTAGCCTCTTCCATTTTCTAACAATTGCTCCAACAGTTGATCTATTTTCACCAAGCTGCTTGGCAATTGCCCCGTAGCCCTTTCCAGCCTTGTGGAGGTCCACAATTTTGTCTCTGGTGTCTTTTGACAGCTCTTTGGTCTTGCCCATGGTAGTAGTTGGTGTCTGACTGACTGTGGGGTGGATAGGTGTCTTTAAAGAGCTCAGACAGGTGCTATTAAGTTAGATCAATGAGTGGAGTAGAGGTGGACTTTTTAAAGGCACAGTAACAGGTCTTTGAGAGCCAGAATTCTTGCTTTTTCTTAGGTGTTCAAATACTTATGTTCAGCAGTGCAAGACAAATAAATTCTTTAAAAATCATACAATGTGATTTCCTGAATTTGTTTTTTAAATTCTATCTCTGAGTGGGAATGCACCTACAATGTGAATTTCAGACCCCTCCATGATTTCTAATTTGGAGAACTTGCAAAATCGCAGGGTGTTCAAATACTTCTGTTCCTCACTGTATACAAAGAAACACTTCAGAAAAGTATTCCAGTGGCGCATAAATCAATTATCAGTGTAAAAGATTATTTATAAAAATACATATATAGCTAATGTAAATGATGAATAATGAATACTACATAATAAATATTTTCCACATAAACATTGTTAATGGTGTGAAATAGATAATAATTTGTTATTCCAAACGAAAAGTCCAAATACCTCAGTCCATCAGACAATCACCATGTGAGAAAACTTGTGCCAAAAAATAAATTATATATAAATGTGTGGTGCTCCCCTCTCAGGTGTGCACTCACCAAAAAGTGTTGCCTCCCACTCTCATGGTTGGCACACTGAGCTTTGATTAATGACTTTCCAAGGACTAGATCAAATCACTTGTAACATTTTGTTCTCCTTAAATTTGCGACAATGGAATCCTAGGACAAACATTCCCGATCTCCAGCACACAAATTCCTCCTCCCAATGCTCCACTCACAATTGACTATATAGGAGATAAAAAAAACGAGAGAACCCCAAATGGTGCAGTACTAACTAAACGGTTTTATTGCCACAATAAAGTACTACTTACAAAATGTAAATGGGTAATAAAGCCCAAAGATGTTAGCTTTAAAAGCTCTCTGTATGAGGAAAGCCGGATCAGTGCTCTCACCACCGGTAGCCTTTGATCTCTGACGCTCCCACGTCACTTCCGGTTCGGATCTGCGTCACTTCCGGTTGCTTCACAGCCTTGCGCCTGACATGTTTGCAGCCCCAGTGGTTAAGTGCTTTTCTCTAGCAGCTGAATAATCTGAATGTAGTTGTCAGCTATAACGTCTCCTAGTACTCCAAAAACCTTTTATTAGGTTAACTGGCACCTAAACCACACTCGACTCAGAATGTGTATGAATTTGGTATGGAAATGATAATCTTACCTCCTTCTCGGCCAGAGACCAGTGACCCTGAAACACTGTCTCCATATCAAAACAAAGTCTTGCTGCTTCACAAATAGAGTGCCAAGTCCCATGCAATATGCTTTCGTTTGTTGATAGACCCAACTAGAAACATTATATGTGACTTTCTGCAAGACTTGTGGACCCAATGAGCTGCATTGAATTGTTGCTGTGGTATCAGAATCATTAGAAGTGAATAGAAATAACTTTTCTTGTTGCTGATGATGCATTATATAGCTCAAAATAACTATATGTGTATTTCCATAGTCACAGTCTAACAGGTTCTCCTGTTCGTTTGCAGTGAAGGGGAACAAGGACCAAACGGAAGCCAAAGCTCCAGTTACAGTCAATCCTGAAACTCTTCTGTTTATCCAGTACTGGACCAAACTGGATCAAGTTTTTGCCATAGTGATCATCCACAAACTTTTACGTAGTATTCTCAATAAGTGGGCCACTCAGCCTTTCTTCTCCATCTCGGGAGATACACGATGGACCTTTTTTCACTGAGGGCTTATGAATATGAATACACTATTCATGAACCTCAAAGACAGCTCTCAAATAATTGCACATTTTTTTTTCTTTTGCAGAGAATGATCGAAACCAGTTTTCTGATCTTAAGTAATCTGAATATAATTCTCAAATGTATTAAATGATGTTGCATCATATTCATCTTCCTAATTGCTCACTTTTTTTTTTCCAGGACATGAATATTTGATATGCTTTTTCTAGAGGGAGCCATGTGATCTATATTATGCCACACAAGCAGTTTTCACTTTCATAGGATGTGTGAAAGGCTGTGTTTGTCGTAGATGTATTCATATTGAGGGTACCCAGACTACTGTGGCCATGTAATTATAGGGAAGTTTTTATAACTTTCTAAGATGAATCCTATTTACTGTGGACCACAGATAGGAATACTTTCAAGCAGTCCCAAAGGCTTAACAGTACTTGGGCATATTTGTGGTGCTGTTGGCATATGGGCCCACATGAATATGTACTTGTAGTCACAGCAAGCACAAAGGTATTTGGAAAAGTGCAAGGCTTATACTGATTGTTAATAATTAGGCAAGTGTCACATGAATTTTACTTTTGACTGTTCTGCCAGGTCACAAGTTGGTATTTTAAATGTAATGTTTGCTAAATAGAAATTGTAAATTGCTGTTATTACTCTCAAACAAGTGCCCAATAGTTTCTGATAATTTTCAGAGCTGGGTAGTTTGAATTCTCTAAATGTGAAAAAAACACTGGTACAATCTGTACTAGTCCATGTAAGTATAATGAAGGACATAACATGAAGCCAGCCACTTCAAGATTGATAAGCTTTTGAGAGAACAAGAGCTAGAATAACGTGACTTTTACTGTTTCACATTTGAAGGCTGTCATTCATGGGCCTTTTCTCAATGTCAGGTGTGTGCATAGTACTGATTTTGCTTTTGCTTGTTGCATAACCTTGAAGATAAATAAAAGCTTAGTAGAGTGGTTTTATCAAAAAGAGGGTAAAGCAGCACTGTTTTCAGCAGACTCATTCTAGCAACATTTTCTCACATTTTATCTTTATGAAGCTTTAAAGAGCAGATTTTTTTTTGTCTTGTAAGCACAATAACATCATTTCTATTTGTCATGTGATTGAATTTTTTATTCTGTAATGATTAGGGTGGATTTGTGAATAAATTATGCTTCTAATGGCAGTCCAGGATCACAAGTAAATTCATGTAAGGGACCTGCTGTGAAATCCTTTTAGTTAAGTTCATAGGTGGGACACAGATTGCAATGCCCTAATAAGGATTATGTTGTTTTTTGTATTTTGTATGCAACACTGTGGCAAGCATTGGTATCAAAACAGTAATTGGCAATCCTCCTACCATGTGCCTGTTCCTACACCAGAACAGTCTTGGACAGCACACCCTTCAGTATACATCATTTGATGCTTTTCTTTGTAACACATATTTTTTTCTTCATCATACATTCCAGGACACAGGGTATCTTGTTACGCATTATGATAGTTATGCTGTCAACGTCTGGTCATTGCCCAGGAAAAAACATTTTTTTTTTTTTCTTCAAGATTTCAATCCATGAGTTGGAGACTGGCTTCTCTGGATTTGTTAACCTATGACTTTCTGCTAAGAGATATGGTACCCTGGCACCATACTGGGCATGTGGAGACAGCCTGTAATGTTGCATTTCGGCACTCGATTTTGCATGGCAGGACCCTGTGCAATTATATATTGCCTTGTGAACTGACAGAGTTCTCTACAGGTGGTGACCCCCAGCTGGGAGTCATGTCCCTTTGTGGCATATGCCTGCTGAGATGAGTGAAGTTAGGATTCCCCTGGGGGGCCTACAGTGTGGACTGGTGAGTGCCCTGCTGGTTTTCCCTCAGAGATGCCTGTACTGCACAAAAAAAGAGCCTTGTTTGTCCTTTATAAAATACAAAAATAACAACAATATATGTATTACCTTGCTATCTTCAGTCTCCATGCACACTGGCTTAAAACAAAACAGTGCTTTACAGGAGTTTAGCATTTTGCCTGTAGAAACAACTAATGCTATCATATGTGTCCATGTACATTGGGTAGTTGAGAGGTGGTTTTTTTTTTTTTTTTTTTTTTTTTTTAACCTCTGTGTTTAGAGGCAGGAAAAAAAAACCCTTCTGTTTTGTTTTTTGAGAGTGGTTTTCTGGCACAAAAAAAACCCCACTAGTACAAACAAACACTCAAAATTAGTGCTTTTTACTGCCAAGAGAACTAACGGGGGGGGGGGGGGGGGGGGGGGGGGGGTGAACACATGTGAGAGGCAAAGTGGTTAAACATTACAACTTGGTCATATGCAGCTACCTTCAGGTGATTGCACACTGCAAAAAAAGAATACAACAGGGACACCCCCTATATAACCCCATCTACGCCTTGCTAGCCAAAGTTTTTTATTTTTTGTGTCCTTAGGTGGGGGGACTTTTTATCCTCTACTAAGAGAAGCTTGCTTTCTTTGTGGAGGTTTTCCTCTCTTTGATGATGATATTCAAGCAAGATGATTCTTCAATTAAAATTCCTGCTGCACCGTAATCACTCTGGGTTCTAATCCAGATTCCTAATGAGTTAACTGCCCAGCAGAGTTTTGGGGGGCCTTACCAGGACCTCCACCATATGAAGAATTGTGCTGACCTGTAATATTGCTGTCTTGCACTGGATCCTGATGTAGGCACTCCCCTTGATATATGTAGTGCAACATGTGCAGTTAGCTGCAGGAGGCTTCACAGGTATATGTAGTTTGTGAGCCCTGTTCCTGAAGATGCTTGTGGGGGTATGCCCCTTGTGAAGGGTGAAACCAGGAGGGGTATATTCCCCTGTTAATCGAGCCTACTAGACCTTCTATGATGGGTATAGGGCAGTAAACTCTCAGTCTTGGGTGCTCTTTCATTCTGTAGACCCCCTAGGGGGTGTGTGGGAGCTCTAATGGCCTTTCCAGTGGTTGCAGCAGTGAGCCCGCAGTGGTGGGGCTACTTTTTGTCTAATACCTATTGTCTAATTTTCAATCGGGTTACTGTTGATGTGTTCCATGCCTTTTCCTCTTCCCAGGTGGGACTTTGGATCAACAACTTCTCCTGGCTCTCTCATGCATTCACGATACAGCAGCTGTTTCTGCACTACATGGGTTATTGTGGCCTACGATTACTTGCCATTGAGGCATTCCCCCTTTACTGCTGCAGAGATTGAGTACCCCTCTGGGAGTGATATTTCACATGCATGGCAGAAAAGAAGCTGAAGAAAAAAAGGTTCAGATGGACTTTCTAGCTCGTGGGTTTTTTTTGTTGTTTTTTTGCTCTTTCTTGGTTCTCAGCTTAATTGGGGGTGGTACTTTACTTCAACAGGCTTGGTACCCTTTGCTGTAATGGTTTTCCCCATTTTTGTCTCCCTTCCTTCCTCTGGCCATACTGCTGGCCCACTGCCTCACCAGCTTCCTCATTTTTATTCAGATAGAAATTTTCTGCCCCAATGTCAGATTTCATGTGAAACCTATGTACACTGCTCAAAAAAATTGAAGAAACACTTTTTAATCAGAGTATAGCATCAACTCAAACTCCTGTGATATTGATCTGGTCAGTTAAACAGCAGAGGGGGTTGTTAATCAGTTTCAGCTGCTTTGGTGTTAATGACATTAACAACAGGTGCACTCGATGGGCAACAATGAGATGACCCCCAACACAGGAATGGTTTTAAAGGCTACTGACATTTTTTCCCCCTACTCATCTTTTCTGACAGTTTTTCACTAGTTTTGCATTTGGCTAGGGTCAGAGTCACTACTGATAGCGTGAGGTGATGCAACAGGAAGAAGGGCCAGCCGTACATCAGAGGATTGATGAATAAAGTGTATATTTATTGATCCATAGGACACACAAAACACCAGGACATGAATACCGGACCTGTTAACATGTTTCACACGATCGCATGCTTAATCATAACGGGTTATGATTAAGCACGAGATCGTGTGAAACGCGTTAACAGGTCCTTTATTCATGTCCTGGTGTTTTGTGTGTCCTATGGATCAATAAATATACACTTTATTGATTAATCATCCGGTGTGCGGCTGACCCTTCTTCCTGTTGCATTGTGTGTGTGTGGGTGGCAAACCAGAGCCTGCACCTGTCGTGGATTGATCTGGATTGTTTGCCTGAGTGGTATACTTCTATTCTTAGCATGAGGTGATACCTGGACCCTACAGAGGTTGCACAGGCAGTCCAACTCCTCCAGGATGGCACATCAATACTTACCATTGCCAGAAGGTTTGCTGTGTCTCCCAGCACAGTCTCAAGAGCATGGAGGAGATGCAGTTACTCTAGGAGAGCTGGACAGGGCCGTAGAAGGTCCTTAACCCAGCAGCAGGACCGGTATCTGCTTCTTTGTGCAAGGAGGAACAGCATGAGCACTGCCAGAGACCTACAAAATGACCTCCAGCTGGCCACTGGTGTGAACGTCTTTGACCAAGCAATCAGAAACAGACTTCGTGAGGGTGGCCTGAGGGCATGACATCTTCTAGTGGGCCCTTTGCTCACTGCCCAGCACCTTAGCGCTCAATTGGCATTTACCATTGAACACCAGAATTGGCAGGTTTGCCCTGGCACCCTGTGCTTTTCACAGAGGAGAGCAGGTTCACCCTGAGCACATGTGACAGACATGAAAGGGTCTGGAAAAGCCATGGAGAACATTATGGTGCCTGTAACATCATTCAGCATGACAGTTTTGTTGGGTCATTGATGGTCTGGGGAGGCATATCCATGGAGAGATGCACAGACCTCTACAGGCTAGACCATGGCCCCCTGACTTCCATTAGGTATCGGGATGAAATACTTTGAACTATTGTC